TCCCCGCAAAGCTCCACCAGTCAGTGCCCTGGTGAGGACTCCGTGTGGGGGCTCCAACCTCACATTTCCCCTCAGCACTGCCCTAGTAGAGTCCTTCTGTCCTTGTGGCAGGCTTCTGCCTGGGCTTTCTGATGCAGCCTCTGAAATCTACAAGGAAGCTGTCAAGCCTCTTTCAGGCTTGCATTCTGTGTGCCTGCAGACTTGACACCACGTGGAAGCTGCCAACTCTTATGGCTTGGGCCCTCTGAAGCAGCAGCTTAAGCTATATCTGGGGTCCTTGAGAGAAGGCTGGAACCAGAGCTGCTGGGATGCAGAGAACAGTGTCTCCAGGCTGAGCAGAGCAGCTGAGACGAGGCCTGGCCCCTGAAACCATTCTTTCCTCTTAGGTCTCTGGGCCTGTGATGAGAAGGGCTGTCTCTAAGGTCTCTGAAATGCTTTCCAGGCCTTCCCCCATTGTCTTGGATATTTGTACTTGGCTCCTTTTTAGTTATGCTAATCTCTCTAGCAAGTGATTGTTCCACAGCCTGCTTGAATTCCTTCCCTGAAAATGCTGTTTCCTTCTCTAGCATATGGCCAGGTTGTGACTTTTCTAAATTTTTACACTTTGCTTCCCTTTTAAATAGAAGTTCCAAATTTAAGTCATTTCTTTGCCCCCATATTTGATATTAGGCTGTTAGATGCAGCCAGATCACCTCTTGAATGCTTTGCTGCTTAGACATTTCTTCTGTCAGATACCCTAGGTCATCACTTGTAAGTTCAAACTTCCACAGATCCCTAGGGGAGCGACACAATGCAGCCAAATTATTTGCTAAGGTGTAACATGGGTGGTCTTTGCTCCATTTCCCAATAAGTTTATCATTTCTACCTGAGAACTGTCAGCCTGGCCTTTGCTGTCCATATCACTATCATTATTTTGGTCACAACCACTTGACATGTCTCTAAGAAGATTAACATTCCTTCATCTTCCTCTCTTCTTCTGAGCCCTCCAAACTCTTCACACCTCTGCCTGTTACCCAGTTCCAAGCTGCCTCCACATTTTCAGGTATCTTGTAACAACATCCCCTCCTTGGTACCGATTTTCTGTGTCGGTCTGTTTGCATTGCTGTAATGGAATACCTGACGCTGGATACTCTTATAAAGAAAAGAGGTTTGTTTGGGCTCACAGTTCTGTAGGCTGCACAGGAAGTATGGTGCTGGCATCTGCTTCTGGTGAGGCCTCAGCAAGCTTATAATCATGGCAGACGGTGAAGACGGAGTTGACATATCACATGGCAAAAGACGAAGCAAGAGAGAGAAAAGGAGGAGGTCCCAGACTCTTAAATGACCAGATCTTGTGTGAACTAAGTGAGCGAGAACAGGAGAACCCACTTATCACCAAGGGGGTGGCACGAAGCCATTCATGAGAGATCCACCTCCATGACCCAATCACCGCCCACTAGGCCTCAGCTCCAACATTAGTGACCACATTTCAACATGAGATCTGGAGGGGACAAACCGTCCAAACCATATCATTTACTTTGAGGATTTACATTTTTGCTTTGATTGAGCTAAATTTAGTGTAATAGTATATAAAATATGGCATGATTCCAAAGCATATTTAAGAAATTTAGTATTCATCTCCATCTCCTCCAATTGTTTCTTCCCTCATCCTATGGGTAACCATTTCAACTGTTTTGTTTTATTTGTATTGGTTTATGCTATCATTGTTTTTTAAATATAAGAAGACACTGTTTACATAGCTTTATTTTTATGTCAAATATAAAAATATGTCCTTGACAGTTTATTTGCTCTCTCTCTCTGTCTCTCTCTCTCTGGTGTATCTTTTGATATTTAGAAAGATGTGAATTTAAAAACTTAGTTATCTCTTACTTTAGTCTTTATTTTCACTGTTGGCAAATTCTGAACAAAAAAATTTCCCTTAATTTTTGTGGCAGTTGTATTAGTAGTTACTAATTATTTTAGGATTAGTGTAGACTTTTGCAAAATAATCTATCAATCCTTTTAAGACTATCCATGTAGCCACCTGTAAGCAGTGTACCTTTTCTTTCTAATGAGACAAACGTTTATTAACAGCAGGAATGAAACTAACAGAAACAGAAAAGCCATCTGGTACTTGGCTCTCCATATTACTGAGGATTCAGGAAGAGTTAGCAGACTTAAAGTAAGAGCTACTGGATTTAAAGAAACACTACTAAATTTTTTTCTCTAGCATCCTAGTCACTGGCATGTTTTTCCTTATTGAGTGAAAAATATGCTATTGCCAGGATTCTGTGAGGTAGTGTTTTCTTAGTCCCCAACTTATCTTCATAACTTTCACTTTGATAATTTACAAGCCAGAGTTATTTTCTTAATTGGCAAAGTTCGTCACACCACTTTGTAAGGTTTTCAGCAGACCAAGGAAATATTGCCTGAAGAACCACAGCAATTGTGTGAGAACAATATTAACAGGAGTTCACTGACTATCGCATCGGTTTGATGTATCATTTACTACCTTTTGTTTTATTTAAAATTGTTTCCACACTCACATTTTTGGCTAGTGATAAAGACACTAGGTAACATTTATAGAATGTGGTAGAGTTTTCTAATGCTTTCAACAACAGTTACCATATTTTATCTTCACAATGCCTTAACCCTGTAAGATGACGGAGTAAATGAAGGAGGCTTTGTTACCCAGTGTGACCGGTATGGCTATGGAGTCCCCAAGAGGGTAGGACAGTGGCAGGAGCTTTTGAATTCCCCCACTCACAGCTTCCATTTTCTGCTCTTCAGGCATGTGTGGGGTGGGTGGCAGTTAAGTTGAAGGGTTGGAAAAGTCTTGCAATTTCATACACAGCACATTTAATTTAGTTTTTACTCACTGTGCAGCACAGAAGAGGCCCTGTCGTATTTAAAGGATCTGGTGTTCTGCATTGTGACTTGCAGAGTCCAATTTAGGCACCAGTCAGAGAACAGTGGCTGTCAACAGTGGCTGTCAACAGAAGCTATATTGACCCTAGGAGCTGCTTTAGAAATATGGGTGGGGTCATTTTTAGTTGCTACAATTGGGGGTAAACTGGCATTTGTGGGACAGAATGGTAGGCATTTGGCCACGTGTGGGAAAGTTCCTCATACCAGTGAAATTTTTATTTTCTGTTTTTTAAAAACACTATAGCCATCCTAGGGGGTGCGGAAGAATACATTTTATAAAACGATTTACATTTTAAATGACAGCCTAGTATACACACATGCAAAGAAAATTTAACTCAGATAGGAACTTCACAAAATAATATTGCACTCCGGTATTTTCTATTCTATCTTATTTCAGTTTTCTTTAAAAATTCTCGTTATAATATACTAAATTGATTTCATTATCCACTAAAGGATGGTGGCCCACTGTGTGAAACTCATGGCTCTACATGGGTGCACAAATTCTTCTAGGAGCTTTTTCGTGTTTACAAGAAAAATAGTAATAATTTGCCTTTGTGAGTCCTAAAAGATATCCTAGAAGACTATAAAGCAGATAAAATTTAAAATTATAATTTACGTTAACAGCAGCGTATTCGGGTGCTGAAGACTTCAGTGTTATTGGAAGAGTGCTGGTCCAAAGGTTATGACTCAGAAATTTGCTTCCTGTCCATGAACAAATAAGTTATCTTCTCTGAGGTTAATTTTCTGCAGTGAGTAGATGCAGATCCCATGATCAGCTCACTCATTGGAGGGCTGTGATAAGGATTTGAATAGGATAATGGATGTGATTAGAGTTTGAAAATAGTGAAATGATACAAACAGTGAATTGTGACTCCGGCACGCTGGCTCATGCCTGTAATCCCAGCACTTTGGGAGGCCGAGGTAAGTGGATCATTTGAGGTCAGGAGTTCAAAACCAGCCTGGTCAATGTGGTAAAACCCCGTCTCTATTAAAAATATAAAAAAATTAGCCGGACATGGTGGCATGCACCTGTAATCCCAGCTACTCAGGAGACTGAGATAGGAGAATCATTCGAACCCAGGAGGACGAGGTTGCAGTGAGCTGAAATGGCACCATTGCACTCCAGTCTAGGCAACAAGAGTGAGACTCCGCCTCAATAAATAAATAAATAAATGAATAACAGTAAATTGTTACTTAAGTGTGTCTGCAGAAGCCTGCTTGTAGAGCACATTAGTCAAAAATAATAATAGTAATAGCCTGGACAGCAACATTCATTAGCTACTTACTATGTGCCAGACACTGTTCTAAGCTGTTTGTCTATATTAACTCGTTCAATCTTCTTCTTATAATAGCCCTATAAGGTAAGTACTGTTAATGCTAGCCCCTTTCTAAAAATGAGGGAAAAAAAGGCACAAGGTAACTTGATAATAAGCAGGTTGGCCAAAATTACATCTTTATCTCTAGTAAATGGCAGAATTAGCTTTGAACCCAGAGTGTCCAGTTCTTGTTCCTAAATAGTTAACCACTATACTACACTTTCTATTTAAGACTGAAATCAGAGTTTTTTATTAGTGTGTTTGAGCATTTATAAAGCTTTCTGTAGCATTAAGTACTTTTGCAAATTACATGCTTATTTGAGAATAATCAATGGAAAAAAATGTACATTTTTTAATACATTTTCAAGGAAACAAGAATGTGATCAGCAAGCCCCTGCAATGAAAGATCAGATATTAGCTTTGAAGACTGTAGACTGGCAGAGAGTTTTCGGAACACGTATGTGTACGTGTAGGAGTGTGCGTGTGTACACGCAGGTGTGCAGGCATTTACCCGCCGCAGCTTCAGAGAGAGATTGCCAGTTTCCTAGAGGCGCGATTGCTCAGGAACATGAATGAAAACCCTAAGACAGAACAGACCAGCGGTTTAGCTGCCAGAACGCAGTGGCTTGCCCTCCTGACCCCTTGCTGACATTAAACAGCCCTCGCCCTGGAATGCCGCTCCTGGCCTGGCATCCTGGGAGCGTGCGTCCCGCCTGCGGGGCAGAGATAAGCATAAACCTAGCCTCTGATTCTGAACACTAGCTAAGGCTCCCGACAGTTGACAAGATTGATGATTTTCAGCTGGTATGTCTCCGGAACTGAGGAGGCCCTAGCTTTAATTTATTGGTCAGATCAGTTTGGTTTAAGGGCCCCAGTAAACGAATGCAAATGACTTAAGGAACATTCTAACTCAAAGGCAAGCCATTAATCCACGTCTTTCACACCAGAAGCTGAATCATCCGAAGGAGGTGCAGTGTGTGGAGACAGGGGTGCTTGTCTCCTCTGTTTCCTCCTTAGGAAGACTTCACTGTTGGAGACCTTTCTTCTGAGTGCTGCCCTGGGGTGCTGTCCAAAATCCATGCGTCTCATGAATTATGCCGCCAGATCTAGAAGGAGCCAGAGTCCTCTTTGGAACTAGGTGAACTGGGCTAATCAGAAACAGGCCCATCTCACCCACCAGCCAGTTTGCACCAGGGCCAGAGGAAAGCCGGGGCCTCTGGCTCCCACATCCCATGTGGCAACCGACCGTCGGGTTATGCTTGGCTTTGCAACCATCAGGAAAGGCCTCACGTCTGCCTAACTGCAAAACGATTTGGTTGGCTTATAAATTGCTGCCTCTATCATGTGCTTCCGAATTGAAAGGAACGGATGGTTTTAAAAGGTTTATGTTTCGTTATTAATGCAGAATGACTTCCTGCTGACAAATTTCGATTTTTACACAATTTCTTTGCTGATGCAGTATCTCTGCCACCCATGCTCCAGGGCAGCGTGGAGCCACTTCAGAGCACGCCTTTTGTGACCCAGCACCTAGCAGGGTGTCCTTTTCTGAGTGCAAAAAGAGAATCCACTGACCTCATTTGCTTCCGTCCTGTGAACCTCTCTGTGGGTTTCAGAACGCCAGGGTCTGAACAGAGAAGCTTCAGAATACTTTCTCCGACTGGAGAACGTTTTTATTGTGGGAGGAAAAAATGTTGCCAGTCTCACTTCACAGACACCTGGAATTCATGAAGTCTGAGGACTTCTTTCATTTTACTTTCAACTAAAAGCTCCAGCATGAAACAGCAAAGGCTCACAGAGCTCAAGATCAGGAGGTGGCCCTGTGAGAGGGTATTCGGCCTGGATCCCTGGTGAAACTCCATCACTGAGCAGGTCTGTGATAGCCCGTGTGGTCTGCTTTCTGTAGATAATACTCGGAGACTGTGCTGCAAACATTCTCAGATTATTCAAAGATGAACGAACAGTTCAAATGGGCAGGTTTCTGTGAGTGCTTCCCTCTCAACCCCTTCCTTTTTTCAGTATGTCTCCCTATTTTCTTCCTCTCAAGCGTATCTACTTCAGAAAACGTGGAAAGAAAAGAGCCTGGTGGGAAAAGTCGATCAAGTGACAATGACGTGCCCTTACGGAAAAATCTCTGGGGTAAGCAGACTTTGGGTTTTACTCTTAAGCGAAATGAGATGAGATTACTCTATCCCAGCAAGATTTAAGCATCTTATTTTTCTAAATGTTTGGTCATTTGTGTTAAAACAGAGGAAAATATGACATCTAACCTTTTTTTCCTGAGAAAATAATCACTGTCCTCCATGCTTTGCCAACAACAATCCTTTCTCCCCCCCATTTGTTGTAAGAGCTACAGTATCTGCAATTTGGTAAAACCACTACCCTCACTGGGGTGTTTGATTTTGCCTTTTGCATTTGAGCTCTTGGTGTGTGCATGTATGTGCGTGTGTATATGTGTGGGTATGTATGTGTGTGTGTGAACGTGGGTGCATGCCTGTGTAGGTGTGTGCTGTCTGTGTATTTGTGTTAAGGTACGGACACTCTCCGAGATGTAAGAAAGCACTACAACTATTTTTAGGGGATGAGTTCTTCATTTTTATTCCCAAAGACCTTTTATAATTTTGTTTTTTTTCAAGTTTGCATTAAAGAATAACATACTACTTTATAAGTTTTTGTAGATGTGTTCATTAGAAAGATCAGATCGCTTAGTACATGCCATTAACCAGTTTTCTCTTAAGTTAATCATCCACATTTAACTCTCTAAAGAATAGATTTACTTTAGTTGTGATTTTTCCAAAGGCTGTTTTTGCTTTGTCTGTCAAAAACGAATAGAAAGAAAAAAGGAAGGAGGAGATGAGAGAAAATCCTGCCCTTTTAGCATATAGAGTTCTGAAATAAAAGACTGAGCTGTACAGAAAAGCCGCCAACACCATCATTTGTTTTCTGTGGTTTCTGATGATTCTTTGTGGCGCAGTTTTCAAATGGAACATTTTCTTGCTATCACAGGAAAACAGCACACTCCAGGGTGGACTCTGATTTCTGTGGCTAAAATCACTATCTCCCATTTCCAGAAGCAGAAACACAAATGCGGTCTGATTTTCTTTTGGTTGAAAACTTAATGGAAGAAAAAAATAGAACATTTATGCATAGAAATAAACACACACACAAAGGAATACAGGAAAAACTGGGAAATCTGAATAAGATCAGTGGATTACATTAGTGTCAATTTCCTGGCTCTGATATTGTACCACAGTTTTACAAGATGTTATCACTGGGAGAAACTAGGTTAAAAAGTACATGAGATTCCTCTGTATTATTTATTGTAATTGCTTGTGAATCTACAATTATCTCAAAATAAATTAATTTTTAGAAAAATTTGGAAAAATAACAAAAGGAAAACTAAATAGTACCTTAAAAATAAAAAATATTTAACTTTGTCTTTTGAAAATAGTGAAAAACACTTGAAAGAGATTGTGGCTTTTCTTGTTCATTCTCTTATAAATTATTGGCAACTTACCATAGTACCTAAAACATGAAAGGAAACAGGTATAGTGTACTTCAATTTGTAAGTTCAGAGGCTATTTTAGATGGATTAAACCAATAACCTAAATTATCCTGAGAATTATGAAGCCAAATTTTTACCTATTTTGTGATAATTTAGGTTGAAAACACATTATACTCTGACTGGCAACATCTAGGCAGAATTAAAACTTTGTAACTTTGGTTAGTAAAAATGATAGAATTAGATAAACCCATTATCTTTTATGGCTATAATAAAGACCTTTGCCAAAACAAAGAATATGAGTATGTTTGCTTTTCAGGGATGGAAAAAGGAGGATTCTAGGAATAGCCATTAATATTCCGAATGAAATGTGGGTTGAGATGAAAAGATAATACTTACCCTTTTAACAAACCATGTAGACTATTACAGTGGATGAAGAGGTTTAAAAAAGCAAAATCTCTATCTATCATCTATTTATGTATTAACTCTTTTTTTTTTTTCTTTTGAGACAGAGTTTTCCTCTTGTTGCCCAGGCTGGAGTGCCGTGGTGCGACCTTGGCTCACTGCAACCTCTGCCTCCCAGGTTCAAGCAATTCTCCTGCCTCAGCCTTCCAAGCAGCTGGGATTACAGGCGCTCGCCACCTTGCCCAGCTATTTTTTTTTTTTTTTTTTTTTTTTTTTTTTTTTTTAGTAGAGATGGGGTTTCACCAGGTTGACCAGGCTGATCTTGAACTCCTGACCTCAGGTGATTCACCCGCCTCCACCTCCCAAAGTGCTGGGATTATGGGCATAAGCTACCGCACCCAGCCTGCTTTAGATACTTTCTGACATACATTTATGTCATTATAAAACTGAGAGACAGAGTATTTGTAGCAAAAATTTTAGAGACAGACTTCACAGAAAAGGAATAACTAAATCCCTTCTGAAAGATATCTTAGTACCTAACCACCTGTCAAAGCCTGTGAGATTTACTAAATCCCTGCTACAATGCAACAAAGCTCTACAACAACTGGAACTTGAGATTTGGTTTTGATACGTGATTTTGTCATGTTTGGAGAAAGTGATGATGTTGAAAGAAAAGTGTCTCCCCTTTAAAATATTTTCCTTAAGCGACTGCCTTGGAGCAGGAGATTAGGTCTCATTTCCATTCAATTCGAATTGAGCTTAAAATGTAATTCCAGGCCCTGGCAGCTACCGCAGGATGATATGCTCCGTCAGTGAGAAAAAAAACTTGGCACTTGAAACAGTTGAGGAGGCCGGGTGTGGTGACTTACGCTTGTAAATCCCAGCATTTTGGGAGACCGAGGCTGGAGGATTACCTGAGGCCAGGAGTTCAAGATGAGCCTGAGAAACATAGCCCAACCCTGTCTCTACAAGATATTTTAAAATTAGCTGGGTTTGTTGGCACACACCAGCAGTCCCAGCTACTCAGGAGGCTGAGGTGGGAGGACTGCTTGAGCCCAGGAGTTTGAGGCTGAAGCAAGCCATGACTGTGCAACTGCGTTCTAGCCTGGGCAACAGAGTGAGGCTCTGTCAAAAAACAAAAACAAACAAAACAGAGATCTTTGTGTTTCTTCTTTGCAAGAGTAGGATTATCTCAGGCCACTGCGGTGGGGCTGAGCCCACAGATACGGATTATGTCAGCTTGGCCTCTAAGGTTGAGGAGTTAAAAGGAGATTGAGCAAGAGATTTACAGCTGGCTGCCAGAGGAACACTTCAGGTCACCGAAGCTTATGGAACTACTCGAGTCACAGTATGTGAAACGCAAACAGCTGTCTGCCTTACTGAAGCCAAACCTGAGTGAAAACGCATGGCTGTGGAGTGCAGGGGCAGGAACTTACACACACACGCAAGGTGAAGGAGGGCCTGCAGAGTCTTATGAGCGGCCAGCCACTTCCCTGCTAGCTAAAAACTTCAAACACCCTTTTTCCTATTTCTGATACTGCTTGGGGAAAATAACCAGGTAGTTGGTCTGTGTCCAGGCTACTGGAATAACAGGATTACCATTTACTCGGCACCTGATTACCACATGCCAGCCATTTCATGGGGCTTATCTCAGTGTATGCTTACACAACCCATAGGCCATAGGTACTGCCACTATTTCCATTTCACAGATGAGTAAGCTAAGGCTTACAGAGGTTAAGGAACTCGCCTCAAGTCACATTCTTTGGAGTAATAGAAGCAGTACTGAAATTCAAACAGCTGGCCTTAGCGCATGCGCTCACTACACTCACTACAGCGTACAGCGCTCTCTCTCTCTCTCTCTCTCTCTCTCTCTCTCTCTCTCTCTCTCTCTCTCTGTGGCAGCTGATGAGGCGGGAGCTGCTGGTGGAAATTCTTCATGGGTCTCTGGTGTTTCTGAATATCTGCATTTTGCTAAAAGAGGCACTAGCCATCTGTGTTCTGGGCTATATCTTCAAGAATGCTTATATAGCAAATAGTCTTGGAAGACAGAGATGGCAGTACCTCTGAAGCAAAGGGCAGGCATGCTTACTGCCTAGTTTAAAAAGCCTGAGTTCCCTACATTCAAGTTTCCTCTACCACATCGTGACTGCTGTGTCTGCACATGTCTTCTGGCCCTCTTTACATTGTCCTGTGGGAACTAGGGAATGGAGAACCAACAGAAATGCAGATGCCTCAGTTACTGTATTGCTGCGAAAAATAAACCATCCTTTTGTCTCTCTCCCAGTAGTCTCATGTCTTCTACCAGCTTCCCCGGGATGTGGCCTGCTAACTTAGTTTGCATTTGTTCTATTTCATGACAGTAGGAGGGACTAGATTAGAAAAGGGGCTAAAATAGACCGGGCACGGTGGCTCACGCCTATAATCCCAAGACTTTGGGAGGCCGAGGTGAGCAGATCACTTGAGGTCAGGAGTTTGAGACCAGCCTGGCCAACATGGTGAAACCCTGTCTCTACTGAAAAATACAAATATTAGCCGGGCATGGTGGTGTGCAGGAATCCCAGCTATTTGGGAGGCTGAGGCAGGAGTATCACTTGAACCCAGAAGGCAGAGGCCGCAGTGAGCCAAGACAGCGCCACTGCAGGCCAGCCTGGGCAACAGAGTGAGACTCTGTCTCAAAATAAATAAATAAATAAAGGGCTAAAGGAAGGCAGAGAAGGGTTTAGCGCAGTGTAGTGAATCTCCTGGGCTTATGAACCAAACCACTTGTCTACCCAGTTGTTTTCCATTGAATGTTAGCATGGAGACTGGGGTGCTCCATTCAGATGTTACCTTCAGAGCTGGGACACTCGTTTCCAAGCTGCTGGAAGCATTGGCAGTCAAACATTCTCATCTGAGTCCTTCTCCGTGAATTATCTTAGGCTACCTTGCCCAAGGATGGCCTCCTTCTATGAGTCTACGGGACAGGGCAGTGGGTGGGTTGGGGGAAGTGAGGGAGTACAGAATGTTCTGCCCTTGCTTCAAAGCAGGACAGTTCTGATCTTAGCTCCAGAGCTTCCTTTGGGAGAGGTTCAGTTTTCTGCCTTGTTTTTTGTGCATTGTGCAGACATCACAGTTCAGCAACTTCCTCTGCTAAAATGTACTCCCTTCACTCACAGCACTGACTTAGAGGGGCCTCCGAAAGAAATTTCCAGTGCGCAGTCTCAGTGCACAAATCTTGGAGAATGTTTCCCAGGGAAGTGACCGAAGACAGATCTCTTATAAATCATGATAAAAAAGTGCTTCCCAAGATATTGTGTGCTTTTAGTCACCATTTTTTGGTATCCATAGGCTTAAATAAGCCATTCTAATATTACCTAGAAGCTTGACAAAATAATGTAGTTAACTCAAATTCTGATAGTTGCATTAAAGAAATTATGTTTTTTAAGCATTAAAATTTTGATAATTTTGTAGTATATTCACCAAATTGCTATTTCTGACACACTATTATACTCATAAGTAAAAAATAATAGAAAGATCTTTAACTTATTATAAAATGCCCTGATGGAAATTTTGGTATAATTGAATTTCTGTTTTCACTTGAGATACAAATACTTTGAATGTTTCATATATTATGTAAATGAAACAGTGGGAAGCAAGTCACACCATTTAATGTGTTCGGGAAAACTGGAATACCCTCCTTTCCTACAGAGGAGGGCAAAAAGACCGTAAACCTTGTTGGAATGGAAAAGTCGGAGCTTTGCACAACCTCTGAAGTATAGATTTGGAGGGGGAAAGTGGTAATGAATACACTGAAACAACTTCTTCTCTTTGGAATTGACAAGAATAGACCAGTAAGAGCAAGGACAAGATAACAGGGCAAGTAGGTCAGTACCAGGCTGATGTGATGTCAGTAACATTAAGGAACCCAACCTTTTGTTAAATGATGTCATCAGCTTTTTTTTTTTTTTGAGACAGAGTCTCACTCTATCGTCCAGGCTGAAGTGCAGTGCTACTATCTTGGATCACTGCAACTTCCACCTCCCAGGTTCGAGGGTTTCTCATGCCTCAGCCTCCCAAGTAGCTGTGATTACAGGTGTGCACCACCACACCCGGCTAATTTTTGCATTTTTACTAGAGACGGGGTTTCACCATGTTGGCCAGGGTGGTCTCAAACTCCTGACCTCAAGTGATCTGCCCACCTAGGCCTCTCAAAGTGCTGGGATTACAGGCGTGAGCCACTGTGCCCAGCCAAATGATGTCATCAGCTTTATTCTACCTGCTCGAGGTTGTACAAATACCACATCTAAATCATGACTTTCCAAGGGCTAAGGGGTTAGCATAGTTATTGGTTGTTTCTGATTCCAAAACTAAGTGTGGAAATAAGACCTCCCCAACTCCTGCAGTTACAAGCTTTGTCCCATTTGATACACAAATCAGATGTTTTTCATGCTGGGAGTAGTTTAATTTTCAAACTCTGCTGCAGGGGAGACTCTTTCTTCATTATATAAAGGTAAAAGCAGCACTGAACTATTTTAAAGTTTTATTTTTTAAAAAAAAGTTTTATATGAAACATGAACATTTCTCATGAATAAATGCATTATATTTACAAGTTTCATTCTTGTCATGCAACAAGTTGAACCAGTTACTTTTAATCAAAATAATGTTATGCAAGATTTTATAGTCCAGTACTCAACTCAGTTATGTAAATAGACAAGGCAAGCTAAATGCTTTGTAGTCTGCTAAACATTTCGCTTGGTTTGAATGGATCTCTCACATAAGGCACAATCTTTAAAATGAAAAAGGAAGTCCTAGCGGTAACAAATATACAAACAAAAAGGAGTGTTAGTTTAAATCCTTGTTTAGCTTATCCGAAGTTGCATACAATAAACAGAGTTGCATTGTGTTCCAAACAACTCATATATTGCTTCATAATCCTGGTATCTTATTATTCTAGACTTCAGACCAAAAATGAGGTAACAGATTGAGCAAGTTTCTGTTTCATCCATAGAGATACTTAAGGTGACACTACAAAGAAATTTAGGGCTGGGCACAGTGGCTCACACCTGCAATCCCCGCACTTTGGGAAGCTGAGACGGGATGTAGCTTAAGGCCAGGAGTCTCAGGATCATCTTAGCCAACATGGCGAAAACCTGTCTCTACTAAAAATGCAAAAAGTAGCCATGTGTGGTGGCATGATCCTGTAATCCCAGCTACTTGGGAGGCTGAGGCATGAGAATCACTTGAACCCAGGAGGCAACGGCTGCAGTGAGCTGAGATCGCTCCACTGCACTCCAGCCTGGGTGACAGAGCAAGACTCTGTCTCAAAAAAAAAAAAAGAAAAGAAAGGAATTTTGTTCTACAAAGGTGACGTTACAAAGAATACATAATTTTAAGGGAATCATCTTCCCCATGGGTATGAATAGTTTTAAATTTTTGGAATTAGAGATATACAGATTCCTTTTAAATTGTTATCTAAAATCATTATTGCTCAATAATTTTCTAGCAGGGGAAACAGACACAAAGTTTAACCAATTGAAATTTGGGTGGTAAAAATGCAGACAAGGGGTTATCTCGAGATCAGCATTCAACTCAAAGGCAGTCCAGTCCAGTGCCTTTTGTGTGTGTTTGTGTGTGTGAGTGTGCATGCATGTGGGTAAATGATCAAAGACTCTTAATGAGACCTAAGATTTCAAAGTTCTCCTAAGCAAGCAAATGTACATGAAGTGCCTAATGCAATGTCTGGAATACGGAAAGTCCTCAATGTATGTCAGTCTATGACTCTGCATGGATGGAAATATTGGCTGTATGTCTGGATACCTCAGATAGATTTACTCAAATCAGGCTTGCATTGCAGCTATAGAAAATTCCAAGCAGTTTTTTTATACCTACCTGATTGCTCTTCTAGTCAATACCCCTTACTGACAAACGCTTCAGAAGCCACTCTTTCTGACAGTTCTGGGCTCGCTCAGGGATCACCTGGGGGTCTTAAAAGCTGGGCGGAATCTCCTCAAAGCTAAACCATTGAAAACAATGTAGGAAAACATGGAGGAGAATGGGTATGAGCTTCTTCCACGTGGGCGAAACAAGACAGTCAAGACGGGCACGAATCAAGTTTTAAAATCGGGTCTACCAGATTTCGATGTCTTTATGACACATTCTATTACTCAACTTTGGAAAAGAATATCTTGAGTCGTGTGAATAAGCCTAGTACTTGCATTTTGAATGGGTCCTTCCTTTGGTGTTTACAGTTAAGAAACAATGGAGATACCAAACAAGATAAGACTAAGCCACAGAGATATCTGAAAAACTGCCATCAATCAAACCTCTTTGTGAAGCCGGTTAGTGCAGCTTCCATTGTTCTAAGCAGCAGGCAAAAGGAACAAATAAAATCCAGCTGTTTCTTCACTGTGGCACCAGGTGAGTCCCAGTATCAATACTTCCTTCATTGTGGATTAAGGGGAAAGTGGCCTTCATTTCCTTTCCCATTCCACTTTGAAACCTCAGATTTCTTTCTTTCTACCAGTGATACCGGTTGGTGAGTCACAGCCACCTGGGCTCCAGTTCTGGCATTGCTTGCAATGTAATCATGAGAACCTGATAGATAGTGTTAATAGCAGAGTGAATCAGGGATCAGGAAAAAATACTTTTAGATTGCTTACCTTTGGAGGGCTTTGCTGTGTTTAAAGAAAGTCAGTTTTTGACACTCAAATTTAATTTGCTATCCTATACAGCAGCCTTTTCACATGATAATTTTTTTTCACCAAATAAAGGAATTTAGTGCACTATAAATTTCCTGAATGGTGGGATGTTGATAAAAGTAAAGCTGTGAATTGGGGGGTCATGTGAACCAGAATTTAATTGCATTTGTGCCACTTGGTGTTAGACCCTTTCTCTACTCATATTAACTCTACCTCTGTTGTTCATAGTTTCCTTACTTCAAATTAAAATTAGAATACATTGGTCTCTAGAACTGTATGATTTTTGTGAACTTTAGAAAAGCATCTTTTGGGATGGATTGCTAGATTTAGAAATGCTTTTTGCATTTATTAACATCCATAACCCAGGAAACGAAAATGATAAGAAAAATATTTTGGTAAGACAGAAAATCTGTTTTCATTTCTCCTTTTTGATATTTGTAATTGGTCGGAGCAGAAAGTTCTTGTGTGGGCATATATGTGCTAATGAATTTGAGATGAGGAGCCAATGTCTTTAAGAAAACTCTCCCTTATGATGTTTTGCATACATGTGTATTCTCTTTCCCTCTAGATTCAACTTTGAATAAACACTGTGCTCTCAGCCAAGGAAGAGTAAATCTAGCATTAGTCATGACTGTCTTGTTTCACCCACGTGGAAGAAGCTCACTCCATTCTCCATGTTTCCCTATATTGTTTTCAATCTTTTACCTTTGAGAGATTCTTCCCAGCTTCTAGAACTCCCAAGTGATCCCTGAGCGTAGCCCAGAACTCCCAGAAAGAGTATTTCTCCAACAGGTTTCCAAAGTATTTGTTGGTATGGGGTATTGACTACAAGAGCAATCAATAACTGTGCTGGGAGTTTTCTGTAGCTGCAATGCAAGCCTGACTGTAATAAATCCATCCAAGGCACCCAGATGGGCAATATTTTCATCTATGTGCTGAGGCCTTTGCATATTCTGGACAATGTAGGTTAGGCACTTCATGTACCTTTCTTTGCTTAGTCTTCATTAACAGCTTGGTGAATTAGGCAATAATATCGTAGTCTCCACTTTGTTGAGAGTTTAGGTAACTTGCTCAAGACCACACAAACATTTGCCCCTGGTTCCAAATACTGCAGTCTTAACTATTTAAAACATTGTTGGCCAGGCAAGGTGGCTCATGCCTGTAATCCCAGCATTTTGGGAGGCTGAGGCGGGTGGATCACCTGAGGTCAGGAGTTTGAGACCAGCCTGGTCAACAGGGTGAAACCCCATTTCTACTAAAAAGACAAAAATTAACTGGGCGTGGTGGTGTACACCTGTAATCCCAGCTGCTCGGGAGACTGAGGTGGGAGAATTGCTTGAACCCAGGAGGCAGAGGTTGCAGTGAGCCAAGATCGTGCCACTGCACTCCAGGCTGGGTGACAGAACGAGACTCCATCTCAAAAAAAAAAAAAAAAATTGTCATCTGTACTGACAGCCCAATGCCCTGATAGATGACTAATTAAGAGTATTTTAACCCCTTTCACCTAAGAAGAAAGATTTGAATTCTTCTCCTGACGTGCTTATGTCACATGTTTTCCAGAAAATCCCTCCAAAACCCCCCAAGGTGAACCTCACGTCAACCAAAACCAAGACATGAGCCAGAGCCTAAACAGAGGAAAGAAAACAGAAGAGAGGATTCTAGTGATGTATCTGGTCATCATTCCAAGCAACCAAGCTGAACTTTTGCATTGACAAACAATTTTTTCCAGAGCATTTTAAAATTTACAGGTTGGTTTGCAACAAAGCTTTTCAAAAAGAAGTATTTATGATGGTAAATCGTTAAAAGAAATGTGTTCTAGACCAAGAAAGGCAAAGCTTTCATGTCTTGTTTAGTCTCTAGCATGCTTGTTTGCAAAACACAAGCTCCAGTCTGCATGTTTCCGCAATCAACTGACTGTCTTAGAGAATATCTCAAAATCAGTCTGTCCCCGTGCTTGCTTATGATTCCGCGGTAATCCTCTGTTTGTAGTCACAAGTTGTCAGGAGAACATCATGTAAGGCATGGTATGAAGACTTAAGAAATCTTGAAATCAGAAACCTCAGTTTTCTTTCTCTTGAAGTGTTTCTAAGGGAAGAAAAAGGAGAAAGGAAATTAGCATCTACTGTTACCTCATTTAATTCCTTCAACAATCTTAAGGGTATTATTGTCTCCATTCCTCAAGAAAAGAAACCAAGGCTCAGAGAAAAGGACTCACCCGCCCTGTGACCAATGACTGGGGGTCCCGGGTCAGAACCCAGAATTCTGACTCGCACCCAGTGCTGGCTCCCCTGTGTCCCAGGGATGGGCAGGACAAGAACATCTTCTTTAAAACTTTCTGTTTGTTGGGCACCTCCAAAAACCCTTATAAATTATTGCTTAAGTTATTTTGACAGAATAATTTCACTAAGTCCATTGAAAATTAAAATTTTGGAATCTCTGTTATATGGCTAGATCGATACTATACTACCCAAGTCCCTGGAAAAAATGAAATTATAAGTTTTGACTACATGGCAGAGCTTTGGTGCCTCATACACTTGCATTAAATGCAGTATCCTTTAAAATAATAGAATATGCATTTGTGAGAGTACAAATGTGTGCATGCAGCAGTCCATAAGAGAATTAGATCCAGAAACTGTAATTTGAAAGAGTTCTAAACTCTTAGAACAAATTGATTTAAATTTGAACAATACTTACTAAATATGAATTGATGGAAAGTGAATATTTATAACCCCCTTTTGTGAATTTCAGTAAGCTGACATTTGTTAGCTCCTGACGCAGTAGCTTTTCTGAGTCAAGAGCTAAAGGTCCCTTGAATTACCTGACAGTTAATCATACATAGATGTGAAGTCAAACGTCATATTCCACTAAGTCTAATCTGCACTTGCAGGAACGGTGGACAATTTTGCCTAAACATTTGACAGATTTGGAATGTCTCTTGCCATAGACATTTAGCATGAACCAGCTTCATTGTCCTAGTATCTGTCACACAGAAATGGTCCCTTGCTCAGCTTCTAATGGATTTACTGCAAAGGCTGTGAGGAATGAGTCACACTCAGGGACACGATGACAGAGGAACAGCTTCTACAACACAATCTTCTGTAATAGAGAAAGCTGTGCCTCTCCCCAGGGACCTGCCTATAAAGTTGGTCTCCTTTCCACTAAGGAGGCATTTCTGAGAGCCCCACATAGATTAAGGACAACTTCTCTAGGTAACTACTAAAAATTAGGGCCAACAAACGAAATCTTGGGGATATGAAATATTAATGTGATGAGAATTACCATAATAAGAAACAATTGAGTATACACTGTATTACATAAGTGAGGCTTAAAAAAAATAACACTGAGTTTCGGGCCTTTTTTCCTTCCTTGGAAAATGCCTTGAAATCTTTTCCATCAATACAGTCTAACTGTACAGGTTATGGGTGACAAATAGTTTCAAGGCAAATTGCAACTTAGTTGGTCAGACTGTTTCAGTAGAAGAAAAAATGACAATTTGAAAGAGTTCTGGAAGGGCTAACGCTAAACAGTTCCATCTTGACCTCAAACCAATGCAGTCTGCAAACAAGTCAGTATGTGAACCCAAAGGAAGAAGTGCACCCCAGCCTAAGAAAGGGACAACTTTTCCTTCTCTGGATTCAAAATGCTCCATGAAATTAAGTCATTGATTAAACGTTGGGGAGGCAAAGACTGTTGAAATGTCAGTTAAGATTCTTTAGGCTGCAAATCTGATTCACCGTGGCTTCAATGGTAAGAAATGGTATCTGCCCAGCTGGAAGTCCAGGGTGGAATGGCTTCAAGGTTGGCTCCATCCAGGGACTGTCTCTCAATTTTCTGTTTATAGGCTGGCTTCACTCAAGGGGGTAAAAATAAGTATGGTCATTCCAGGCCTCATATCCATTTACACAACATCCTGGGGAAGAGGTTTCTGGAATCTCTAGTACTAATCCATATACCATGGGAATGACAGGTACTGATTGGCTTCAACCTGAATTCCTTAAATTAATCTTTGTGGAAAGGAGGCTGGGATGACCTTGATTGAGTTAAAATAGTCAGGGCTCCACCTGTGGAGTGGAGGATGAGATCAGTTTCCCACCACCCACATCCTACACAATGGGTGAGGGATGGAAGGAATGCTGGAGACTATCCCATGCCCGCCGATATTCACGAAGTCTTGGTCTTCTGTGTTTCACAATAAACTCTTAAGAACATTGCGAATATTTTATGTATGTGAAGGTTTTTCAGAGAAATTTATTGTAGGGAAAACAAAAAGATCAGTAAGTTTAAGCTTTCAGGGTAACTAAGAACAAGTACTCTCTGCTCCCCTGCATTACACTTTTATTCTTGTGCTGTGACAGCAGACCGTCCTCCCCTATTGGCCACTCCCTGTGCCCCTGCTAGTCCTCTGGGCGGTCTGTCATTCCCACTGTGGCCACTGTTGAAGTGACTTGCTTCCTACAGGCACTGACCAGCTTTGAGCAGGTGGCACCTGCCAGCCCCTTTGCTGCGGGCCGCTCCCTGTGCTTCTGGCTTCCTGCCGTAGGGTTCACTATGGATGCCTAAGGAAACCTGCCAGGCAGTGTAGGAAAGTTCACACCTACAGAACTATGCATACCCATGTCCTCCAGCACATCTCAAGAAGCTGCTCAGAAGGTGCAAGGGTGGAGCCCCAGAGCCATCTTGTATCAACTTCCCTTCCTTTCTTCTTCCACTCCCTCTGCCCTTCATCGCAGTCCCTCCTTTACCAAATAAATGCCTGCCTCCAGGGTTGGAATCAGACTGTGCTTTCAGGGATGCTCTGGACGGCATTACCTCTTAGGTAACATTTGTGTAGCATATGTCTACAGCGGCGAATGTAAATGTTACCTTGCAAACACATACATGAGCCAGCTCCCAAACTTCTGAAGACTAAAACAAATTCAAGTCTTGAATTCTGTGCAAAAAGCCAGATTCCCTATTAATTGGAGTGTCCTATGTAACACCCTTCTCTCTCCACATCCCATCACCTTTCTCCCTAGACAGTAGCTGTCTCATCATTTTTATCATGTCTGGCCCACGAGTTACCTATATATGTACATTCTCAGAGGGTTAAAGTGGCTCAAAAGAAGTTTAAAGTGAAGGTGGAGGCCGGATACAGTGGCTCATGTCTGTAATCCCGGCACTTTGGGAGGCAGAGGAGGGCAGGTCACTTGAGGTCAGGAGTTCGAGACCAGCCTGGTCAACATGGTGAAACGCCATCTCTACTAAAAATACAAAAATTCTCCAGGCGTTGTGGCAGGTGCCTATAATCCCAGCTACTTGGGAGGCTGAGGCAGGAGAATCGCTTGAACCCAGAAGGCAGAGGTTGCAGTGAGCCAAGACCACACCATTGTACCCCAGCCTGGGTAACAACAGCAAAACTCATCTCAATAAATAAATAAATAAAGTGAAGGTAAAGATGAAGCTACACTGAAGGAACAACCAAAAGTGAAGGAACTAGAGAGACAAGCATCCCCTATTCCCTTCTTCCCTAAATCACTGTGTGTTTACGTTACCTTTCCTAGGCCAGTGCCTCTGCCTGGAAGTCCCCAGGCAGCCTGGATTCCACACCATGGTAGTAGCACTGAAAGTTACTAATGCTCCCTAGGCCTGGGTCTCCTGATCTTTGAAATGGAGAGAACAATAACAGTAACAGTAACAGCTACCTCATGAGTTACTAGGATTGACGGATATATAATAGCTAATATCTATCATGTTAGGCATAGTCCTAAGTGCTGCTCATACATTGTCTAGTTCCTTCCTCATAAGTATCTTATTTACCTCTAAATGGGATACTGTTATTATCCCATCAAACATATGGCAAAATTGACATTTAGAGAAGTGAGCTAACTTACCCAACTACACCCAGCTATTAATAGTAAATGTGGGCCAGGTGTGGTGGCTCATGCCTATAATCCCAACACTTTGGGAGGTCGAGGCGGGTGGATCACCTGAGGTCAGGAGTTCAAGACCAGCCCGACCAACATAGCGAAACCCTGTCTCTACTAAAAATACAAAATTAGCCGGGTGTGGTGGCAGGTGCCTGTAATCCCAGCTACTTGGGACGCTGAGGCAGCAGAATCGCTTGAACCCGGGAGACAGAGGTTGCAGTGAGCCAAGATCATGCCACCGCACTCCAGGTTGAGCAATAGAATAAGATTCTGTCTCAAAAAAAAAAAATTAAATGTACAGCTGGGTATGAACTCTGGAAGTCTGCATCTCAGGTCTGTCCTAATATCAGTGTATTCCTATCATGAAACTATATTCATTATATTTGTAGCAGAGTATGTGATGCACAGTACTTGCTAAGTCAATGTTTATTAATTTATCTTTTTCATAACTTTATCTTATTCCTTAGAATTCAACCCTGTCAACAAGACGGAGGGTCTCCCAAATGCTGCAATCTGCTCCGTGCTCTGTGCTGCTCTGCTGGGCTGTCACAACTGCTCCCTGTGCGTTTCTGCAGGCGAGGTCTTCTCCCAGGTAATTGCTAGTTTACTTGTCTCTCCCACTAGCCTGTAAGTCTACTGAGAACTTATTAAGAACGGCGTCTCTCTCAGCTCTGTGCCCTAAGTGCCTAACACATTTTAGGGATTCCATAGAAACCTGGCAAACAAACGAGAGGACATGTGAATGTCTCCCTTTGATCTTTCCCCTGGAGCGAGCAGTTTTCCCCACATTTCTCCCTGAAGCGAGGCTTCTGTCTGAGCATCGGCCTGCTGTCATCTCCTAGAGATCAATGGTGATTTTAGAGATAATAAAGATAATAGAGATCTGGGATAGTATTTTTTTCTAACCAACTACAAACAAACTCAACATTTTACTAGCAAAGCTCTGCATGTTTTTTGTTGTTGGTAAAGAACCACACCATTTTAATGATTTTTCAAATAATGTTAAGGAAAACAAAATAGGTCTCTTTAAATGTTTTATCTAAAATCAATCAATTTCTGAAAGTTCACCATCTTCATCCATGCTACAATGTCATCAGGATATTGGTTTTATTGTGTGTTTTGCGGTTTCTGGTTATAACCCTCCCATGTTCTAGTGGTCTATTTTTACAATGTATCTTAGAAAAAGAGGGAGAACTGTATGTTTCTAGCAGGCAGAGTTGAATAGTGTCATATTCCCTAAAAATTTTTCCTTCTGTTGAAACAATTCTGAGGTACGTGCTATTAGATAGATTTATTATTAGCTCAACTGTTAGTCATTTGGATGCATGACACCCTTGAGCTTAGTGGGAGTGGGGATGGTCAAAAATGACTCAGAATGAATTTGGATGCAGCCACTCACAAGCCAGGTCTCAAGAGCACTGTTGCCTGCTCTCAGTCTGCCAGCCTGAACCACATCACCTCAGTCATCCCTGAACTCTGGGATCCCTGTCCTACTCAGTGGCATGCAAAGTCAGCTGCCCAGATCCCAGCAGGAATGCAACAAAGAAAATATTAGAACTTCTATTTATGGTTATTTTAATACTTCATCAAAGAACAAAATTTCAGCAAACTGAGTTTTAAAGATCAAATTGGCTTTTGTCAGTGATTCATGAACTGGGCAGCATTCGGTCTACAGAATAGGCAGGCACTTTGCTAGGTGTGGCATAGCAGTCATTTTTTGTAGGCTTGTTTGAACAGAAACAAGGAGACAGCAAGTACAAAAAGCAGAATGGTTAACGTCAGGTTACGTTTCTTGAATAAGTTAAAGCAGAGGGGACTCCATCATAAAATGAGTGAGTCCATTTTGGACTGGTTTGTTGGGGCCTAATGCAGGAACTCAGTCCAAATCGATGGCTGTATTAGGCTGTTTTCTGTTGCTTATAACACAATAGCCAAAACTGGATACTTTGTGTAAAAAAAGGAACTTGCTTCCTACAGTTATGGAGGCTGAGAAGTCCAAGGTCAAGAGGCTGCATCTGGTGACAGTCTTCTTGCTGGTGGGGTCTCTTTGCAAAGTCCCCAGGTGGTGCAGGGTATCACATGATATGGAGCTGAGCATGGTGATGTGCTGGCTCAGGTCTCCCTTCCCCTTCTTATAAAGCCACCACTTCTCTCCCTGTGATAACCCATTAATCCGTGAATAAATTAATCCCTTCTGGAAGGAAGAGCTCTTATGATATAGTCACCACTTAAATGCCCCATGTTTCTTTTTTTTCTTTTTTTTTTTTGTTTTTTTTTTTGTAGAGATAGGGTCTTGCCACATTGCCCAGGCTGGTCTCAAACTCCTGGGCTCAAGCAATCCTCCTGCCTCAGCTTCCCAAAGTGCTGGGATTATAGGCATGAACCACTGCAACTGACCCCATGTTTCAATACTACCACATTGGGGAATAAGTTTCATGAAATATAGGGGATACATTCAAACCATAGCAATGACCTTTCATACATTTTATTTAACAACTTTTTTTTTTTGAGATCAATCTTGTTCTCTCTCCCAGGATGGAGTTCCGTGGCACGATCTCGGCTCCCTGCAACGTCCGCCTCCCAGGTTCAAGCGATTCTCCTGACTCCGCCTCCCAAGTAGCTGGGATTACAGGCGCCCGCCACCACAGTTGGCTAATTTTTGCATTTTTAGTAGAGACGGGGTTTCTCCATGTTGGCCAGACTGGTCTCGAACTCCTGACCTCAGATGATCCACCCACCTTGGCCTCCCGAAGTGCTGGAATCACAGGCGTGAGCCACCACACCAGGCCTAACAACTTTTAAAGTTCTATTTTTGTGTATGTTTTTAAATATACACAATATATTCAGAGGGTAATATATATTTATAGCTTATAAATGAATGTACATGCATTAGAGATTCTCAAAACATTTCTATAAGTAGGGTACATCCCTAATAGAAGAAAAAAGCAGGTTTCAAGCAATAAAGAATATATGAAAAGCTAGAGGTCAACCAGAGAACCCAATGCATTTTATTGGTTAGGTGGGATGTGTGTAATTTTTTCGCCACAGGCTCAGGCAGAGTGTGAGACATTTGCAAGTGGAACAGCAGGAGATGGTGGGGCTCAAGTGACTAGGGGAGCAGGGACTGGGCACTTTGAGAAGTAAGAAGACTACCTAGGCAAGGCAACTGGGAATCCACCCAAGTTAGTCTTTCTGAAAGATAATTCTGCTTCAATTTAATTTCCTTTGAAAAATGAAGAAAGGTTTTCTTGGAAAATCACAGCAGATTATCTATGGAATTAGTAAATCTCTATCTGGAGTCCTATCTCTTTAAGTAAATTCCGAAGTGGTTTAAATTCCCAAGCTTAATCTTTCAAGAAAATCTCCTGTATTGTCATCACACTGCAGAATGTGTCTGTAAGGGGGAGAAATGAACTTGAAAAACAAATCCTTTTGTAACAATAATCTTGAAACTCTTTATCTGTATTTGATGCCAGGGAGAGAGGGGGTGACTGCTTCCCAGGAACTCTAGGGAGACGAGAACTCACAGGTTGTTTTCAGGTTCGTTTCTGCTGACCGTACATGAAGACCTAGCTCTCTAATCCTGCCTGTGTGGGGGTGGGGGAGGGAGGTGTGCTGCAGTGAACGGGATGAAGTGAACTGGATCAGAATGTCACTGGATAGATTGGCTTCCCATTTTCTTTAGAAATAATCATTTGGAAAGCTAGTTAATTGATGTATCAAATATTTTCCCCCGAGACTCAGACTCTCAGCCACTTATGTATTTCCTTCCTTTTATGCAATCACTTACCTTGCCTGAAATTCTATGACCTAAGGCAAAATTATTGAATAATAATTACTTACTCGATCCTTAGTTTTCAGATAAAATAAGAAAACCTGAAGACAATTGTTTTCATTTAAGATTTCTGTTCGAAGTGGAAATTGTCTAGGTATATGAAACTAGGTATGTTTATTATTTTAAAATTTATTTTTAAAGGATGGTTCAGTATCCCAAGGCCAGATATTTTGAACCTGGTTTCCCGTATTAAGCAGGAAGGAAATCTGCAGTTTAACCTCAAGTTATACAGCCTCAGAGGTTTAAATTGAAATCAGGACTAAAATAATACATATTATAAATGACAGAAACACCTCAATTGTCAGGGAATAAATCTCAGGGAAAGAGGAGAGAAACAGGGGGCCGAATCAACTGAAGAACAATTTCCTCCCAATCTGTTGGGCTATCAAAGCTATTTAACATGAAATGGCTAGGGACCTGATCATAATTACAGCTATTTACTGCTAGGAAGCTTGCGTCATAGTTTAGGACATGAATAAATGAGTCTTGGTATAATACCATGCAAAGAAAAATTTTAAAACCCAGACAGCTTTTCCAGACAATTAAATTTACATTTTACGAATGGACAAAGAGGAAAATGTTAATACAGAAAAGGCCATGGCCATGCATTCACATTTGGGTCCACTTAGCATTCTACTCATCAAGACACTTTTCTTTGGAAGATGGACGACTGATTGATAAAACTTCAAATAACATAAGATTTACTGCTGGAAAAACCACTATTTTATTTGTCTATTTTCTCATACTTAAACAATATAGTTAAAAAACAAAAGCCTGCTATGATAGGATGAGAAGGAAACAAACAGTCTGTTGAAACTTTCAAGTTAAACATTCTGCCTTTAAGAGGGTAAGAGTGTTTAACGGTCTTCCAAACACAGGGGCTACAAGCAGAATTGGCTAGAAATGATTAAATTGGATGTTTCTACTTTTCAGTCTTAAGAAGAGACCATCCACACGGACTTTCCCTGAATTATAAATTTTATTTTACCTTCCTCTATTTCCTAAGGCTTTGATCTGTCCTCTACACCTCCCAAAAATCATTTAATATATATCGAGGAGCATGCAGGTACAAAAATGGACCGGCTGAGTGGCAGAGAGATGATAGCAGCTCCCAGGAGAAATGGCTCTATGCTTTCTGAGATCAACATTTAACACACGAGTAAGAAGGCTACAACCCATGACAGGATGAGTCTCGAGGGAATAGAGGTTTTCACTTACCCTGTTCCATCATGCATGGGCAATTTTATAGCTGCAGACTGTGTTTAAAACTTCTAAGCTTATCTCCACATCAGTAGTTAGAAGATCCAGTATTTGGCTGCTTCTAAAAATAGGTGTTTTGTTGTCCCTCAACTATAAACAGGTTAGCCTTTACAGGGGAAAGCACTGTGATGGAATGATCCTCTCTGAACTTCCCTGGTGTAGAACTAGAGCAGCTGAAATAGAAGAAAGCACCACTTAGAACCACATGCCAGGAGCACGTCAATATTCTCTCCATGTTTTCAGAAATACAGCTTGCCCTCTGACAAGCTAAGGAACTTAGCTGCGTGTTTTTACTTAAGCTCTGTCCTGCAAGCCACCTTTGTTCCCTCTTTCTTCCTCTCTGAACAAAGATTTATTGAGGGTATATTATATCCCAAACAATGTGCCAGGGGCGAGAAAGGCCATATGCACTAATGCCAAGTGAATGGGAGCATATTACAGGTTGTCCTTATTGCCATCTGATGCTCCACATCACTGGTGGGATAGGTGTGTTCATCCTTGTTTACATGGAAGGACATAGTTCCAGCCTTATTGCTGAAGTTATAGAATAGGAGAGCATTCTGAAGCCTGGGCTCTTCCTACCCACACCTCCTCCTTTATCCCCAAGTCAGGCATTGAAGGTTGCCTATTCACATCCCTTAAGCCTCCCTCCAATCCATTCTCTCTTCCCTGCCAGTCTTGAGTTTCATTTCTTCTTATTAATTCTGGAGACTAAGTATCTCCAGTTCCATCTCCTCTCTCTGCTTTCATCAGCCTTGCATGTGACCACCACAGCAATATCCCATCGGCAGTGATGGAGGAGGCATTTCTTTTCCGGTTGTCCAGATTCTTCTTGATGTGGCCTAATTTATCATTCCAGTAGAAACTCTGACTA